GGCTCGTCGGCGGCAGCACCCGAGTACAAGACGCTGCTCATCAGCAGCCTGAGCCCCGCGCTGCCTGCGGAGCACCTCGAGGACCGGCTCTTCCATCAGTTCAAGCGCTTCGGGGAGATCAGCCTGCGCCTGTCGCACACGCCCGAGCTGGGCCGCGTGGCCTACGTGAACTTCCGGCACCCGCAGGACGCGCGCGAGGCGCGCCAGCACGCCCTGGCCCGCCAGCTGCTGCTCTACGACCGCCCGCTCAAGGTGGAGCCCGTGTACCTGCGCGGCGGCGGCGGCGGCGGGAGCAGCCGGCGAAGCAGCAGCAGCAGCGCCGCTGCCTCCACGCCGCCCCCAGGGCCGCCCACGCCCGCCGACCCGCTCGGCTACCTGCCGCTGCACGGCGGCTACCAGTACAAGCAGCGCTCACTGTCGCCTGTCGCCGCGCCGCCACTGCGGGAGCCCCGCGCCCGCCATGCCCACGCTGCCGCAGCCTTTGCCCTGGACGCCGCCGCGGCCGCGGCCGTGGGGCTGTCTCGCGAGCGGGCCCTGGACTACTACGGGCTGTATGACGACCGGGGGCGCCCCTACGGCTACCCAGCCGTGTGCGAGGAGGACCTGATGCCGGAGGACGACCAGCGGGCCACGCGCAACCTCTTCATCGGGAACCTTGACCACAGCGTGTCGGAGGTGGAGCTGCGACGGGCCTTCGAGAAGTACGGCATCATCGAGGAGGTGGTCATCAAAAGACCGGCCCGGGGCCAGGGCGGCGCGTACGCCTTCCTCAAGTTCCAGAACCTGGACATGGCCCACAGGGCTAAGGTGGCCATGTCTGGTCGGGTGATTGGCCGCAACCCCATTAAGATCGGCTATGGCAAGGCCAACCCCACCACCCGTCTCTGGGTGGGTGGTCTGGGACCCAACACCTCCCTGGCGGCCCTGGCCCGGGAGTTTGACCGCTTTGGGAGCATTCGGACCATCGATCATGTGAAAGGAGACAGCTTTGCCTACATCCAGTATGAGAGCCTGGATGCAGCCCAGGCCGCCTGTGCAAAAATGAGGGGCTTTCCCTTGGGTGGTCCAGACCGCAGGCTGCGCGTGGATTTTGCCAAAGCGGAGGAGACTCGGTATCCCCAGCAGTACCAGCCCTCCCCTCTTCCTGTGCATTACGAGCTGCTCCCGGATGGGTACACCCGGCACCGAAACCTGGATGCCGACCTGCGGGTGCGGGACAGGACCCCCCCACACCTCCTGTACTCGGACCGAGACCGGACCTTTTTGGAAGGGGACTGGGCCAGCCCCAGCAAAAGCTCTGATCGCCGGAACAGCCTGGAGGGCTACAGCCGCTCAGTGCGCAGCCGGAGTGGGGAACGCTGGGGAGGAGACGGGGACCGGGGCCTGCCCAAGCCCTGGGAGGAGAGGCGGAAACGGAGGAGCCTTTCCAGTGACCGCGGGAGGACAGCACACTCCCCTTACGAGGAACGAAGCAGGACCAAGGGTGGTGGGCAGCAGGCCGATCGAGGCTCCGACCGCACCCCTGAGCGCAGCCGCAAGGAAAACCACTCCAGTGACGGGACCAAGGAGTCAAGCAGCAACTCCCTCAGCAACAGCAGACACGGGGCCGAGGAGCGCAGCCACCACCACCACCACGAGGCTCCGGACTCTTCCCACGGGAAGAAGACACGCGAGAGCGAGCGCAATCATCGGACCGCTGAGGCTGAGCCCAAGCCTCTGGAAGAGCCAAAACACGAGACCAAAAAGCTCAAGAATCTTTCAGAGTATGCCCAGACATTGCAGCTGGGTTGGAACGGGCTCCTAGTGTTGAAAAACAGCTGCTTCCCGACATCTATGCACATCCTAGAGGGGGACCAGGGGGTGATCAGCGGTCTCCTCAAAGACCACACTTCTGGGAGTAAACTGACTCAGCTGAAGATTGCCCAGCGCCTCCGACTGGACCAGCCCAAGCTCGACGAGGTCACGCGACGCATCAAGCAAGGGAGCCCCAATGGCTACGCAGTGCTGCTGGCCACGCAGGCGACCCCCAGTGGGCCTGGCACCGAGGGGGTGCCCACGGTGGAGCCAGGCCTACAGAGGCGGCTTCTCAGGAACCTGGTCTCCTACTTGAAACAGAAACAGGCGGCAGGGGTGATCAGCCTGCCGGTGGGCGGGTCCAAGGGCAGAGACAGCACAGGCATGCTGTACGCCTTCCCGCCCTGTGACTTCTCACAGCAGTACCTCCAGTCAGCACTAAGGACACTGGGCAAGCTAGAAGAGGAACACATGGTGATAGTTATAGTAAGGGACACTGCCTAGCCCGGACCTGTCTTTTCCAGCTCCACATTTGTGTCACAAAAGCAGTTATTTTAAAAGCTGATCCCTGGCCTCTCTCCTACCCCCTTGGTTTGAATTCTCTGCTGGGTGGTTTTGGTCCATTTGATAGGGGACCAAAGTCCTGTCCCCACCAAAACTAAGTCCTTAGGTTCTTGGGATTTTTTTTTTTTTAACAGCGATGAGAAGGGACTCCTGTCATGTTGTTTTCTAGTGTACGAGATACTGTCTGCTGTGTTCTGTATTTTTTTATTTTTTGACTAACTGTATGGAAAGTTTGTCAGTAAAGCCTTTGTCAGAGGATGGATTTTTAATCCTGTTTTAATCAAGTTTTTTCTCAAAGATGGAAGACTTCCCCACCGCATGCACAAAATGCCCTAAGTCATCTTTCTGGCACCAGCATACCTGCATGGGTGGCTGTCAGCCCCTCAGCCCTTTGGGCTGAGTCAGGACCGTATTCACGTTTGTTTTTATCTTGGCTGAAGACAGGTGGGCTTCGTTTGCACTCGCCCCTGCCATGCCAGCCTGAACAGCCCGTGCAAAGGAAGGGAACGTGCCTAAGGTCTGCCTGTAGCCAGCAGCTGTGATCGTTCTGGGTTTTCATGGCTCTGCCCTAAATGTCTGTCAGCTTGAGTTGCAGCTGTTGGAGAAAGTGCCCAATCTAAGGCTGCAGTATGGTCCAGAGGTCACGGGAGACACAGTGCAATACTGATGCCAAGGGGTCTTGGTGCCATGGATCCACACAGGCTCCCCCTCTTTTCAGCCTCCTGGGGACAACTCCAGAGGCCAAAGGCTAGACTGGAGGGTGGGAGGCAGCTTTCCTTAATTCTTGAACTTGACCTGTTTGTGAATTTCCAGCTGTTCCTTTGGTTGTTCAGAATTGACGTGTCAATATGGTGTTGGCCTGTCCGAGTACTAGACCTTTGGGGGGGACACTGAACCCCTGGTCTGACTTTGTGATGCTGCAGGTTAGGAAGACGCTCTGACGTAACTTTGCCAGTGCAAAGGTGACTACTGGGTGTGCTGTGCTTCCGTGAGGAGATGAGATCACAGTGAGGTGTTGGGCAGTGCGCGCACTCAGCCATTCGAGCCAGGCTGAGGGGGGAGCGTAGAAGCATCCTTGAGCTGGGAGGGAAAGACGGCTTGAAGGAACATTAAATTCTGTCATGTGTGAGATATGGTAGTATGGCCAGCACTGGCAAATGAAGCCAGTGTCATACAGCGGATGTTTGGCAGTTTGGATGTTCCCAAAGGGTCTCTGTCAGGGCTGTGGGGGAACAGAAACTCCAGTGAGAGAAATGAGCCCCCACATGCCCAGAAACTCCCAGTTCCACTGGCCATGCCATCCTCTTTCCAGGTCTGATCCGCTACCCCAGCAGGCAGTGCAGGCGACCGCTGGGATGTGTGCAGAGAGAACGTGTGAGGCAGGGGCTGGGCTCAGTGCAGGCGCACGGAGAATACATGCCTCTCCACAAGGACAGTGCATGTCAAGTGTCTTTTTGCGACCTTGGAGATTGAAAACAAACGGGAACGTGCCTGGGGAAGCACTGCTCACTGGGCTTCAGCTGGTTCTCAGGAGAGAAATAAGCATGTTTGAAACAAAACATTACACAAGGAGAGAAGTGTGAAACGTGTTTATTTGCCTGTTTGTACTTGAGCTGTGCCACGCTGCCCAGTATCTGAGCAAGTCCGGGGGTGCAGCAGGAGTGGGCCTCGCCTTGTTGAGAACAGACGAGGGAGGGGTGGCTTAAAAGCCCACCGCGGGGTTTCCTGCAGATCCTGGACAAGGGCCAGTCACAGGCCAGAGCTGCCTTCATAGAGTGGGTGCTCAGACCCCCAAGACTATGCCTTCTAGTTTTCCCAGACAGAAACCCAGAAAGTCCAGTTGGAGAAGACATTTAACCCTTGCCTTGTCGACCCCTCTTCAGGGCTAAGTGCTCTCTGGACCCCCAAAGAACTAGAATTTGGGTAAGAACCACAGCCTGTTGTGTGACCTTCCTCTGCCTTGGACCCTCTTCTCAACCACTTCCTTCCTCTGACTCTTACGACATAACAGGTTCTGTGACTTTCTCTCAAAGGCCTTGGCCAGACGAGTGAGGGTAAGTCAGGTGGCCAGCCCTGGCTTGAGACTACCCCGGGCAGAAAACGATGTCACTGCAGGCATCCGGTGCCTTGACCTGGGGTGCGAGTCTGTCCAAGGTGTCCTTGCCTCATCGCTGCTGTTCTACATGTGTCCTCCTAAGTGACTGGGAGCTTGAGCCCAGAATAAGAAAGGGCTGACGTTTCCTTAGCCTCTTAGGCACGTCCGTAAGGGCGTGTTGTCAAGTCAACCAGAACTCTGCTTTCCTGTTGGAGGTCCCCGTCTCCACCCAAGAGACCCGGGGGTGCTCCCAAGAGCTCCTGGCCGAGTTCAGGGAGACGGTAGCTCGGTTAATGACTAGAACATAGTGCTTTTACTATTTCTCAACTGTTAACCCGTTTTCTTCTAATCCATTCAGCACCAGGAGTCAAACTATTCTACTGGTTAGGTATTAGCAGCCTATGTAAGCTGGGGCATGAAGCGACTTAGGAGCTGAGACCTCTGCTCTCTAGAGGACCACGAGGTACCTGTGCGCGCAGGCCCACTTCAGTGTGTGACAAACTGGTGCTCCGGAGCCCAGCAGGGCTTTCCCAGCCCCTGGTGAGTGTTAGCTGCCTTGTCTTGCTTGTTTACTTCACAACCAAATTTGTCCCCTCTTCTCAGCTAAGGGAGAAAAGGCTTTAGCTGTATAGAAGACCCACATAATAAAAACCGAGAAGCCATTACTTGGGCAAACTCAGAGACAAAAAGGGACGAGGGCCTCCCATTTATGGTGGGAAGGTGGGGCGGGATGGGTGTAAAGGTGAAAGTGCCAGGTATCTGTCCTTGGTGGCAGCATGGGTTAACCACAAGCCAGTGTTAGGGGCCTGTGAAATACCTGCAAACCAGCCTGACCAAGCCTCAGCTGCCCCTAAACTACCCAAGTCCCTATGACACTGCCTTTCAGGAAACGTACAGTCACCCAGCTACAGTACAGGTATGGCCAAATGCTTTCACTCCTTAGCTTTGCCAGTTCACTCCCCCAAACGTCCCCAGACCCCTAGCTTTCCAGCTCCCCCAACTTTCCAGTTCCCCCAAACCTGTAATCCAGAGCTGCCTTCTTGATTCAGAAGCCGGGGACAGAGAGATGTGTCCACAGTGGCCAATGCCCTGAGTGCCTCCCTCAGCCCCGTGTGGCAGTCTTACAGGCAGTCCCTGTGGGGTGAGCTGCAGACCAGGGGCACACACTGGGGCTAAGCACTTTGCTCCCCAAGGGCTTTATTTGGGCAGACTGTCCTCACCACCGTCCGGACCGCCTCTCGGAAGGCGTCTTCTCTACTGCCTGGCTAGAGCTGCAAAGAAAGGGACAGATCCCACTTTGGTAAAAGAGGACAGGGAAAGGCCATCAACAAAGACAGACTTGTAGTTTATTTTGTATTTTTTTTAAATAAATACACTTTACATTAAAGAAAAAGGCCTTTGATTTATAATTTCCACATTGGGGAGAAAGAGAAGAAAAAAAGATTTTTTAAAAACTGAATGACAAAGAAAAATAGAGGGAGTGAACTCATATCCTAAGTTCCCTGAACTCCACAGAACCCACCCACACCGACCTCGCTGCCCAGACCACGAAGCTGCGTGGGGCGAGGCATTTACTCGGCGAACAAGCTCTGGCACGAAGGAAAGCAAATTAACCTGACAGCATATGAGGCAACGAAAACAGGTTAAAAATCATATATTATATTTATAATAAAATATTCTTAATCCTTATCAATTTAAGAAACCACGATTTTCCTTTTCATTTAAATACGTATGTAAAAATGCCTCTCTATTGTTCTTTAGATGTCATTTTCTTCCATAGAAAATGAAGTGCAGGGACAAGACCTGGTGGATATAAGTTCATACCCTCATCTATAAATGCCTGGCTTTTTTTTTCTTTTTAAGTTTTATAAAAAACTATTTCTTGTTCTTTAAGTAAAGAACATTATACAAAGAAAATATATTGTGAAATAACCCCAGAGACAGGTTTTTTTTTCCTTGAGGAAAGCTATGTCCATCCTAGAAGGGGAAGCAGACTAGGGCCTAACCCACTGTCTTGCTGTGGTAGTTACTGTTTGGGAAGGGCCCTCAGGTCCCAGTGGGACTCTAAGCTACAAGTCCTCTGAGTGCAGGCCATGCACAGCCCTGGGAGGAAGGGGAGGGAAGGTGTTCTGAATGCATCTGACTCAGTTTCTCGCCTGCCAAGAATCTCCCATGTGGTGATGGCTCCTCACTCATTCAGAGATAAGATGATGTCATCTTCCAGATCAGAGCTGTCAGCGCTGTCGGCTGCAAGGTAAGCAAAGGGAGACACTAGATTATGCACTAGGCTTACAGGAAGCTTTCAGGAAGGAAGCACCTGCGTATACATACATTTGGGCCTGAGCAAGGCTAATTAAGTTTCCAAAAAGGAAAACACATCAATTAGCTCCTGGAGCTGGCTCTGGAGAATATATTTCTTGGCAACAGGTCACCCCTGGGGACCTCTTGCTTTACCTTTCAAAGGACCTCGATGCAGTGTCCTGATTCCTAGAGGTTCTTCCTGCCTTGGTGGCCCTAAAGGGACCAGGCCCAGCCCCATCCAGCTTTCACCCATGGTGCTCTGAATGGCTGCAAAGGGGCAGGGCTGGGCACAGGCCCGCCTGCCCGCCCCCAGGATCGCTAAGAGGAAAGGCGGAGCCCAAGCAAGAGTGAGATTTCTCTTTGACTCCTTAGCCACTCCCTTCTCATACCTGACAAAGGCAGAGATACTCAACCTAAAGTTCCTTCTGCAATTTCAGAATTTCATCTCCAGGGAACAAATTCCCAAAAAGGGTACAGCCCAGAGAAGGGCCTAGAAACTCGAGCCTGGAGGCCAGCAGGGAGGAGCTGTGGTGCCCTGGAAGGTGGCACTGTGTCTGTGGCACATGAGCCCTCTGCTTGACCATCTCAGGCGGTGAACAGACAGACCACATTAGTACCTCTAGAAGGATCCATTAAGGGGTGAAACTAGGCAGGAGCAAAAAGCACCCTCAACATGAGGTAGATGTGCCATGTCTGACCAAAATAAGAGAGCAACAGTCCCTAGCTCATAAGGACTCATGTAACTGCTGAGAGGGTAAGGCAAAGGTCTTGGTGCCCATTTCCATGATTCACGTCTCAGGAAGCTGGGAAACGACTTTTAACAAGGTCCCCAGGGAAGTGGGCAGACCCTGATCTGGAGCCCTGCAAATGCCCAAAGGTCCTGGGGTTCCCATGGGAGAGGGACAGCCACTGGTGCCTCATAATCCCTTATCAGCCTTTCCCAGATAGCTGAGGAAGAACAAAGCATTTTCCCAAACCCTCCATTCACTACAATCTCCTTTAGGAAGAAAACTGAAGTGGATAAAGTAAAACTAAGAAAAGCATGGCCATGATTCAAGAAAGTCCTGAAAATAAGCAAAAGACATGGCTGGAAAAAACAGTGTCCCTGGGTCTAAAAGGGCTCACGCACAGCATGACTTGATTGGTGAGAAGGGGAAACAGGATGGAAAAAGGAAAGAATACCTGACACAGCTGATCCAAACAGCCTCACCAGCTGCCTTGCTGCAGGAACTCCCAGAGGAAGTGCCAGCAGGGAAAGATGGGACCTGTTCCCCAGAGCCAAGCACTGCTCCAAGTCCCGGGCCGTGGGAGACCTCCGGAGTACCCCCAGGAGCCATCAATGCCAGCCAGACCCACCCCCCGAGACTTGTCAGCGTGAGCTGCAGAGCTGCTAGGAGTCGAAGAGTCTTCACCCTGCCTTGCATCTAAGGACAGCAGGTACAACTGGACGAGGACACAACACAATCTTTAAGCAACTGGCAGGTGCGGAGTTGAGAGGGGACCTTCAGGGCTTGGGCACTAACTCCCCTCCTGGTGGTCACTTAGCAGGACTGCTTTCTCTACCTTCCTTAGCCATTTTCTCATCCTCCATTCAAGAGCCCCTGGTCAGGACTTCTCCTGAAAGGCCCTTTGAGACCAAGACCATCTCAGTGGTTCTCAACCTTTCACAGGGGTCACCTAAGACCATCGGAAAACACATATTTTCGATGGTCTTAGGAACCGAGACACCGCTCCTCTATCCGTCTCCAGGCCCACATGCAGATACACCCACATACAAGTACCCGGTGACCCCTGTGAAGGGGTCGCGACCCACAGGTTGAGAACCGCTGGTCTAGATAGAAATGCGCAGTGTTGATGCAATACTGGACCTGTTGCTCTTACCACACACAGGCTTTGGGGGGCAGAACTGACGGGAGCAGAGAAACACAGACCTCAGAGTTAGGGTGCTTCTCTTCCTGGGGCTGGGGTTCTGGGACCCAGGGCCTCTGCAAGGTCAGGTGAGGGCACATGGCCATGGTTTCCTGGTCTCGATGCTCTCACCATGCCCTCAACGGGTTCCATAAGTCCCAAAAGAGCAAGCACTGCTGCCCTCGAGGATTAGTGCGGCCGAGTCGGCCGAGTATCAGGAAACCAGGGGCACAGCAAGCCCCATCTGCTCTGCACGAGTCTGTGGGTTGCTAGGGAAACAGAGCAATGGAGTCTATGCCTCAGGTGCCACTTTTGTCACCACCTCAATTCTAGAGCCCAAGCTAAAAATGTCAAGTTGTCACCTATTATGGCATTTTCACATCATAAATCTTCCCACCAAGTTAAAGTAACATTCTCATTGCTGATGGAGTTAAGGTTTTCCAGATTATCTCTTGAGCTATAAAGAAGAAATTTCCTAAACTAAATAATTAAAAGGCTAAAGAAGGCAGTAAGTTTACAAGCCAAATAGAAATTTAGTGACTAGATTCACATTAAGAATGGAAAAATCAAGATACTCTTGTTGGGAGCCCCACCAGCAGCTGCCCCCTAGCCAACCTTATTACTTGTAATTGAAGGAAAACAACTTGTGCCCCATGTGTCAATATTCAGGTGACAAAAAAATCCAGGAAACCTGCCCTTGTACCAATACTGTCATGTGTCCCTTGCCCCTTAGTCCCTCTTATCTGGCTCTCTGACCATGGCTAGGGCCAAGGCACGGCCTCCACTGAACCACCTGCACTTCCAATGTGGAAATCATGGACGCTGGTGCACAGCAGATGGGCAGATACAAGGCACTCCCTCCCCGCCCCACTGAGCTCCGTCCAAATATAATAAGCAAGAGAACTTCTGTAAGACAGTCTCCCCTAAGCCAGCTGCTGAGACTGATCCCCAAGAAAATGGATCCAGGTCACTGGGGGACAGAATCTTTTATATATATGCTTCAATATACACGGCCATCCCTGCCTCCTACCCCCCACCCACTCATTCTCCTACCAAATACCAACGACTAAAAACCAAACATCTGTGGAGAGGCGTGGCATTTGTTGGGCCTAGGCCAGCACGATATACTGTTCTGGAATGATGTTAAGTGTTCTCTATCTGTGCTGCTCAATATGGTGGCCGCATGCGCACTTTAAATGTGGACATGAAAATGAGGAACTGGGTTTTTTAACTGTATTAATTAAAATTGTAACGGCCACATGTGGTTAGTGGCCACCACATTAGGCGTAATGCCTACCGTGGTGAGAATGCTGGCCAGGTGAGCTACATGAAAAGTGGCCAGACATCACAGGGAGCTCCCATCAGGTGGGGCAGCACAGGAAGAACCAGGACCACAGCAAGCATGACACTGTCCACAGTGACACACATCACAGAGATGCTGCCGAACCTCTGGCGACATGCAGGGTGCAGCTGCAGAGTTGGGGGACTCTTAGAACCATTAGCTGGTTTGTTTAGGACTCCTTGGCATAGTCAGGGACAACCTGACTTCAGAAACCTGTCCTAATGGGAAATTACGGGAAAAACTGGAGCTTGTTCTTTCTAACTTAGAATTGGGGGGTGGGGGTGAGGTGGGGTAAGAAACAAAACAGAAGCCAAAAACATTTGTCCCCTGGCCTTAAGAGGCTGTAGGCAAAAGCAGACAGGAAAGGGCTCCTCCACAAGAGGCCTTTTATTTCTTGACGCCTCTAAAGGAGCAGGTGCAGGTCCTTGACAGCACCAGCTCTGCCCTCAGGAGGAACCACACTCTAGCCTTCCAACTGCTCAGGCTCATCCTCTAAACACAGCCAGTCGCGAGCGTGGTCTGTCTCAGGCTGCTTTCACACTACAACAGAAGAGTCCACTGGCTGCAACTGAGACCTTTGGCCCACAAAGCGTAAAATATTTACTGCCTGGCCTTTACAGAAAAAGCATGCCGGCCTGTGTTAAAGATGAGCGATAACAGCCATTTGGTTACATACTGTGATGGGAGCGCAGAGGACCAGGGATGGGAAACTGCTTTTCCTCAACGGGCCAGAGGGGTGGCTCGACAGTCACAGGGCACAGAACCCTGGTGTGGCTGCCCCTGTGGGCTGGGCTGGCACCGGGAAGGAACCTTTCCCGGGGTGCCGAGGCTTAGCCCATGGTCGGCCCTGGACTTACTGTCCCCCAGGATCAGCTCCACTTCCTCGTCTGCATCAGAGTCTTCGTCCTCCCCGTCCTCTCCCTCCTCTAGAAGGTTTGCTAGCTCCTCGTCAGAGGGAGAAAAGTCATTGTCCCCGTCCTCCCCTGCGTTCTCATTGTTGTCATCTTCCTCCAACTCTGCCTCCAGCAGCTGGTCAGTGTCCAGCTCGTCTAGGTCGTCTGTGTCGTCGTCGTCGTCGTCGTCATCTTCCTCCTCCTGCTCCTCCTCTTCCTGGGGAGAGAACACGAGGTCCGTCAGAACAGACACAAGCCAGACCCTGTGGGCGACATGGGGAGTCTCCCCTCCTTCCCAGAGGACAGGGAGAAGACTGGCAACAGAGAGTGGTGATCTCGGTCAGCACAGACTTCTCAGCGAAGGCTGAGACAGGCACGTACATGTCCCCCAAGACACACAGCACCCCTCCGACAAGGATTACTGGTCTCTCCACAAAGGCATTACTGGGCACGCAGCCTTATCCAAAGAAACAGACACCTCACTTCACAGAGGCTGCCACCCTCAATATTCTAGGTTCCTAACGAATAATAAACCCCAGGGGGCTCTTCTGTCTCTTGCATCAGCCACGCCAAATCCAATCACTGAGGCACTAGCAACAAAAGCTTCCACCTGGAATCTCAAAGCAGTGCTTTAACAAGGCAGGGGGAACAGCTGCTGAGTCACCAGCTGCTAAGCCTTCCAGGTCTTGCCCTGACCTTACAGCCAAGGCCCGTGGGTAAGCAGTGCCATCAGATGCACCCAGTGACTGGATCGTCCAATAGTCTGACTTTACAATACAGAGCACTAACCAGTACCCCCATTTTCTGTCATAAGCCTCCCTTCCCGAGACAGACAGACAGACAGACAGACAGACAGACACACACACACACACACACACACACACACACAGTATGCTACAGAAACTGTCCCAACTTATATTCCTAAGAAGACTTCCCAAAGGCAGGAAAACTATGAGAAAACAAAATGCCGGGCTCTAGGCACCCTGGACTTTGTAAATGATACATTCTGGTACCTGCCAGAGTTCAACTTTGCACCAGAATCCAAACTGTTTCCCTTCAAGCAAGAGAGAACACAACACCTCTGTTTTGATAAGGATGGCAGGTGTTTCCAAGTAAATGTGACCAACATTCAGTCACGTATCCCTGCTCAAACATCAACAGTCAGCCTTACCAGTAGGAAAAGGATTCTAATTCCTGCAATAATAAAATGTGCAATTCATTTACTACTTCAGCCTAATGAAAGTCAAAATAGAACAAGCCCCACATAAGCAGAAAACATTACAACATTTTTAAAGGTGCTGCTGCATGTCACTCACTTCTCCAGCCACTAGTGTTCATCAGCTGTTACGTCAACCTAGGCTCCCATCCAGCGAACAGCTCTGCTTTATGAACTTTTGGTCATTCTGAAACCACCATTTAGAGACTTTTTGATATGATGTTTGAACCAGTCTTTTAGACTTTTCAACAATTTCTGGCAGCTAATATGGGAAAAAATGACCCCTTTAAATAGCCAGTAGAGAATGTGAGTATGTGAGTGAGTGAGTGAGTGAGTGAGTGAGTGAGTGAGTGAAACACATCTAACATGGTGGCCCAAGACCACTGTTCCCCAGCCTGGGCCACACATCACCTGCAGCCTAGGTTTGCACTCACTGGAAGGTTAAACTGTTCAAACAGGCATCTATTAGCCCACAAATTTAGTTTTAGAAAAATTCTCTTTCATTTCTAACACCATCAAAGCCTAGCTGAGCCAGGAGAAAAAGCTCCCAAGTCAAGACCAATCCTAGAAAATAGGTCAACCAAGACCCGAGCTCTGAACTACAGATACCATTCCAAACTCTTCCAAGCACCTACAAACCCAACCTTTAACCTACGCTTATAGCAGAAGAAACAGGCTGTCCATCCCAGAAAGACAAGAGGACCTTTGTGCCCAGGGAGGGGAGAGCTCCCTGAGTCTCACAACACATCACTCACTATTTAATGGCCAGTGCTGGCTTCGCACGTATCTTGTTACACATTGATATGGCCATCAGCTCACTTTCTTAATTTGGAATCTGAAATCTGGATCATGAAACACAGGCTCACAAGATCTGTCCAAAATGTTGTGTTAGAATCTAATTCTGTGGATGAACCCAAACGAGTCCAGGAAGGTATTTTAGGAGCATTCTTGGTTGGCTGAAGTACCCAGTTGGTAACATGAGCCCTCTCCTTCATATCTAAAGAATAAAGCTTCCTTAGTGAGTGGTCCAAAAAAGTAAAAACTA